TTTTTAAGAGTCTCTTACGCTTTGGCTCTCTCCCACTCTAACCTTTTTTTTTTTTTTTTCCCCCTTCCCCTCCCCCATGGGTTTCTGTTAAGTTTCTCAGGATCCACATAAGAGTGAAAACATATGGTATCTGTCTGTCTCTGTATGGCTTATTTCACTTAGCATCACACTCTCCAGTTCCATCCACGTTGCTACAAAGGACCATATTTCATTCTTTCTCATTGCCACGTAGTACTCCATTGTGTATATAAACCACAATTTCTTTATCCATTCATCAGTTGATGGACATTTAGGCTCTTTCCATAATTTGGCTATTGTTGAGAGTGCTGCTATAAACATTGGGGTACAAGTGCCCCTATGCATCAGCACTCCTGTATCCCTTGGGTAAATTCCTAGCAGTGCTACTTCTGGGTCATAGGATAGGTCTATTTTTAATTTTTTGAGGAACCTCCACACTGTTTTCCAGAGTGGCTGCACCAGTTTGCATTCCCACCAACACTGCAAGAGGGTTCCCGTTTCTCCACATCCTCTGCAGCATCTAGAGTCTCCTGATTTGTTCATTTTGGCCACTCTGACTGGCGTGAAGTGATGCCTGAGTGTGGTTTTGATTTGTATTTCCCTGATGAGGAGCGACGTTGAGCATCTTTTCATGTGCCTGTTGGCCATCTGGATGTCTTCTTTAGAGAAGTGTCTGTTCATGTTTTCTGCCCATTTCTTCACTTGGTTATTTGTTTTTCGGGTGTGGAGTTTGGTGAGCTCTTTGTAGATTTTGGTGAAGTATGGACTTTTGAAACACAATCCCATCTGAGATGAAACTCTGGAGGGAGGTGCTGCCTGATGAAACTTTGGAAGGGACGGCTTGGACACTGACAGGGTAGAGGCAGGAAGTGGACAGAGGCCTGAGACAAAGGAGGCGTACTTGATTGCAGGTTGGTGAGAGTGCGAGATTCCTGCACCAGAGACTAGGAGCTGGGTGAAGCCATTTCCACCTTTCCTGATCCACCCCAGAAGCTAAGCTAAGCAGTGGCATCTAGTGGAGAATGGAGCCATCACACGTACCAACCAAGCACATCCCCCAGAAGACCAGCACAAGTCCATCCATCTGTTTAGTGTACAGATCATAGAGGGCTTCATAGTTTCAGTTCTAGGGAAAACTGGATGTAACTTCACTTGGTTTTCATTGTTTGCTGGCCCACTTATTTGTTTTCTTTGCTTCTGTTTTTGTTTAAATCTTTTTTTTTCCTCATTCTTTTTGTCCTCTTGGGTACAGAAAGAGCAAATTCTTTTTTATTTTTAAAATTTTTTCAATCTATTTTTATTTTCTTTTACGATTTTAAAATTTCTTTTAATTTCCTGACTTTTTTACTTTTTTTTTTCTTTCCTGTCTCTTCTTTCTCTCTTCCATAAAGCTTCTTTCAATAAGCAGACTGAAACACACTTAGGATATAGCTTCCTTTATTTGATTTTTGTTTTGTTTTGAATTTTTATTTTATAATTTTTTTCTTCTTGCAAAATGACAAAGATGGAAGAATTCACCCCAAAAGAAAGAACAGGAAGAAATGACAGCCAGGGACTTAATCAACATAGATATAAGATGTCTGAACTAGAATTTAAAACCACGATTATAAGAATACTAACTGCGGTTGAAAAACAACATAGAAGACACCAGAGAATCCCTTTCTCAGATAAAAAAACTAAAATCTAGTCAGGCTGAAATTAAAAATGCTATAACCGAGATGCAATCTTGAATGGTGCCACAATGGCAAGGATAGACGAAGCAGAGCAGCGAATCAGTGAGGTAGAAGATGAAATTGTGGAAAATAACAAAAATTATGGAAAATATGAAGCAGAAAAAAAGAGAAATGCAAAAGATGACGATACAAGACTTAGAGAACTTAGCAGCTTATTCAAAAGGAAAAACATTCGAATCCTAGAGGTCTCAGAAGATGAAGAGACAGAAAAAAGGTCAGAAGGTCTATGTGAGCAAATTATAGCTGTAAACTTCCCTAGCCTGGGGAAGGATACAGCCATCAAGATCCAGTAAGCATGGAGAACTCCCATTAGGTTCACCACAAACAAACCGTCACCAAGGTAGATCATAGTCAAATTCACAATATACACAGATAAGGAAAGAATTATGAGAGCAGCAAGGGGGAAAAAAAAGGTCCTTAACCTACAGGGAAAGACAAATCAGGTTCACAGCAGATCTGTCCACAGATACTTGGCAAGCCAGAAAGGAGTGGCAGGATATATTCAACGTGCTGAATCCGAAAAATACGCAGCCAAGAGTTTTATATCCATCAAGGCTGTCATTCAGAATAGGAGAAAGAGTTTTCTAGACAAAAACTAAAGGAGTTTGTGACCACTGTCCAGCCTTGCAGGAAATATTAAGGGGGACTATTTGGAGAAAAGACAAAAGACCAAAAGCAAAAAAGACTAGAAAGGACCAGAGAACATCACCAGAAACACCTAGCTCTACAGGCGGCACTACATGGCACTAAATTCATGGCACTAAATACATGGCACTAAATTCATATTTTCAATCACTCTAAATGTAAATGGACTAAATACTCCAAAAGACCTAAGATATCAGAAAGGATAAGAAAAGGCTTATCTGTATGCTGCCTGCAAGACTTATTTTAGACCTTACGGCACTTGCAGATTTGAAAGTAAGGGGATGGAGAACCATCTGTCATGCTAATGGTTGTCAAAAGAAAGCCAGAGTAGCCATTTTTATATCAGACAAACTAGATTTTACAACAAAGATTGTAACGAGATGAACAAGGGCATTATAACTAAAGAGTCTATCTACCAAGAAGATCTAACAATTGTAAATATGCGCCCAACTTGGAAGCACCCAAATATATATATCCATGAATCATGAACATAAATTCATTGACAATAATACCATAATAATAGGGGACTTCAGAACCCCACTTACAGCAATGGACAGATTAAGCAGAAAATCAACAAGGAAATGATGGCTTTGAATGACTTGACCAGATGGACTTAACAGATCTATTCAGAACACATCATCCTAAAGCAGCATTTCATTCTACACATTCTTCTTGAGTACACATGGAACATTCTCCAGAATAGATCACATACTGGTCACAAATCAGCCCTCAATAAGTACCGAAAGATTGAGATCATACCTTGAATGTTTTCACACCATAACACTATGAAACTAGAAATCAACCACAAGAAAAAAATTGGAAAGACCACAAATACTTGGGAGATTAAAGAATCTCCTACTAAAGAATGAATGGGTTATTAACCAAGAAATTAAAGTGGAAATTAAAAAGTGATGGAAGCCAATGAAAATGAAAACAGCGAAGGCTGTCATAAGAGGGAAATATATAGCAATCCAGGCCTTCCTAAAGTAGGAAGAAATGTCTCAAATACACAACCTAACCTTACACTTAAAAGAGCTGGAAAAAGAATGGCAAAGCCTAAAACCAGCAGAAGAAGCAAAATAAAGATTAGAGCAAAAATCAGCTGTCTTGAAATCAGAACAGTAGAACAGATCAATGAAACCAGGAGCTGATTCTTTGAAAGAAGTAACAAAATTGATAAACTGTATCCAGATTTATCAGAAAAGTAAAGGATGCAAATAAATAAAATCACGAACGAAAGAGGAGAGATCACAACCTACACCACAAAAACACAATGATAAGAGAACATTGTGAGCAATTGTATGCCAACAAATTGGGCAATCTGGAAGAAATGGACAAGTTCCTAGAAACATATAAACTACCAAAACTGAAACAGGAAGAAATAGAAAGTTTGAGCAGATCCATGACCATTAAAGAAATAGAAGCAGTAATCAAAACTCCCAACAAACAGCAGTCCAGGGCCAGGTGGTTTTTCAGGGGAATTCTATCATTTAAAGAAGGCTTAACACCTATTCTTTTGAAACTATTCCAAAAAACAGAAACAGAAGGAAAACTTCCAGACTCATTCTGAGTCCAACATTGCCTTGATTCCAAGAGCAGAGACCCCACTAAAAAGAACTACAGACCAATTTCCCTCATGAACACAGATGCAAAAATTCTCATACAAGATACTAGCAAACCAAATCCAACAACACATAAAAAGAATTATTCACCACGAGCAAGTGGGATTTATTCCTGGGCTGCAAGGCTGGTTTAATATCCACAAATCAATCAATGTGATACATCACATTAATAAAGGATAAGAACCACAGGATCCTCTTAATAGATACAGAGAAAGCATTTGACAAAATACAGCATTCTTTCTTGATAAAAAAATTATCAAAGGGATATAAGGAACACACCTCAAGATCATAAAGGCCTCATATGGAAGACCCACAGCTAATATCCTCATGGGGCAAAAACAGAGCTTTCCCCCTAAGGTCAGGAGCACAACAACAATGTCCACTCCCACCACTATTATTCAGCACAGTGTTGGAAGTCCTTGCCTCAGCAATCAGACAACAAAAAGAAAAGGGGTTCAAATTGGCAAGGAAGAAATCAAACTTACTCTTTGCAGAAGACATGATACTCTGTGAAAAACCCAAAGACTCCACCAAAAAACGCTGGAACTGATACATGAATTCAGCAAAGTTGCAGTGTGTAATATCAGCATACAGAGATCTGTTGCATTTCTATCCACCAATGATGAAGCAGCAGAAAGAGAATCAAGGAATTGATCCCATTTACAGTTGTATCAAAACCCATAAAATACCTAAGAATAAACTTAACCAAAGAGGTAAAAGATCTATGCACTGAAAACTACAGAGAGCTTATAAAAGAAATCGAGGACACAAATGGAAAAACATTCCATGCTCATGGATTGGAAGAATAAACGTTGTTAAAATGTTGATACTACCCAAAGCAATCTATATATTCAGTGCAATCCCTATCAAAATAACACAGCATTCTTCACAGAGCTAGAACAAACAATTCTAAAATTTGTATGAAACCAGAAAAGACCCCGAATAGTCAAAACCAAAGCTATAGGCATCACGGTTCCGGACTTCAACCTGTATTACAAAGCTTTAATCACGAAGACAATGTGGTACTGGCACAAAAACAGACACACAGTTCAATGGAACAGAATAGAGAATCTAGAAATGGACCCACAAACATAGGGCCAGATAATCTTAAAGCAATAAAGAATATTCAGTGGAAAAAAAGACTTTCTTCAGCAAATGGTGTTGGGAAAACTGGACAGCAACCTGCGAAAGAATGAACCGGGACCACTGTCTTGCACCATACACAAAAGCTCAAAATGGGTGAAAGACCTAAAATTAAGACCAGAAACCATCAGAATCCTAGAGGAGAAAACACGCAACAACCTCTTTGACCTCACCTGCAGGCAACTTACTTGACATGTCTCCAGAGACATGGGAAACAAAAGCAAAAGTGAACTATAGGGATGTCATCAAGAGAAAAAGCTTCTGCACCACAAAGGAAACAATCAACAAAACTAAAAGGTAGCCTACAGAATAGGAGAACATATTTGCAAATGACATATTGGATAAAAGGTTAGTATCCAAAATCTGTAAAGAACTTAAACTCAACACCACCCCCCCCCCAAAAAAAAACTAATCAGTGAAGAAATGGGCAAAAGACATGAACAGACACTTTTCCAAAGAAGACCTCCAGGTGGCTAACAGACACATGAAAACATGTTCAACCTCACTCATCATCAGGGAAATACAAACCAAAACCACAGTGAGATACCACCTCACACCTGTCAGAATGGCTAATATTAACAACTCAGGCAACAACAGATGCTGGCAAGGATGTGGAGAAAGGGGAACCCTTTTGCACTGTTGGTGGGAATGCACACTGGTGTGGCACTCTGGAAGACAGTGTGGAGCTTCCTCGAAAAATTAAAAATAGAACTACCCTATAACTCAGCAATTGTACTACTAGGTATTTATCCAAAGGACACAAAAATGCTGATTCGAAGGGGCCCATGCACCCCAGTGTTTATAGCAGTGCTATCAACAATAACCAAAGTATGGAAAGAGGCTAAATTTCCATCAACTGAGGAATGGATAAAGATGATGTGGTATCTCGGGGCGCCTGGGTGGCTCAGTCGGTTAAGCGGCCGACTTCGGCTCAGGTCATGATCTCGCGGTCCGTGAGTTCGAGCCCTGCATCGGGCTCTGTGCTGACAGCTCAGAGCCTGGAGCATGTTTCAGATTCTGTGTCTCCCTCTCTCTGACCCCCCCCCCCCAGTTCATGCTCTGTCTCTCCCTGTCTCAAAAATAAATAAATGTTAAAAAAAATTAATAAAAAAAATGATGTGGTACCTGTATACAATGGAATATTACTCGGTGATGAGAAAGAATGATGTCTTGCTACTTGCAACAATGTGGATGGAACTAGAGTGTATTATGCTACGCAGAATAAGTCAGTGAAAGACGAATATGATTTCCCTCGTGGAATTTAAGAAACACAGCAGATGAACATAGGGGAAGGGAAGGCAAAATAAGATACAACCAGAGGAGACAAATTAGACTCTTAAACACAGAACAGACTGAGGGTTGCTGGAGTGATGGTGGGTGGGCGGGATGGGCTAGATGGGTGATGGGCATCGAGGAGGGCACTTGTTGGCATGATCACGGGGTGTTATATGTGACTGTTTTTCAAAAAGTCTCTTAGGGTGAACTTAAGTGTAGTTAACACCCGTGTGGGTGTGACTCCTTCCTGTTTGAATAGATTAGTATCTTCAACATGACTAAATTGGTATTATTACCGTAATCGCTGTCTTCTCAAGCGCACCATTGATTCACAGACTCGTCTTTTCATCCCGTATCTCTGCACAGATGACGTCTTGCACACGCTCACGGGAGCGATGGCGCTGCTGAGGCGCTGCAGGGTCAATGCTGCTCTGACCATCCAGCTTTTCTCTCAGCTCTTCCACTTCATCAACATGTGGCTCTTCAACAGATTGGTGACCGACCCCGAGTCGGGACTGTGCTCTCACTATTGGGGGGCGATCATCCGCCAGCAGCTGGGGCACGTGGAAGCCTGGGCAGAGAAGCAGGGATTAGAGCTGGCGGCCGACTGTCACCTGAGCCGGATAGTGCAGGTGGGCTGAATCGAGTCTCCTCGCGCAGGTTCACGGACGTCGTTACGAGCGTCTCTCATTCAGTGCGGGGTGAGAACTTGGGTTCGGCACGGCCTCCATAGCCCCCGTTGGGGTTTTTCACGTGCTGTACTGGTGTGTCTGGGTCGCTGTAACAAGGTACCCCAAGCTCGGTGCTTAGACCACAGACACGGTCTCACGGTTGCTGAGGCCAGAAGTCCAAGACCAAGGTGTCGGCAAGGTGGTTCTCTGCCTTCATCTTCAGGGTGTTTTCCCTCTGTGCGTGCGTGTCTCAGATGTGCACTGTTTGTAAGGACACCAGTCGCGTTAGACCTGCCGCCCTCACTTCCTTCCACCATGACCCCGTCTCCAAGTAAGGCCCCATTCTGACGTAACGGGGTGAGGACTGCAGCATATGAACTTTAGGGGCCACAGTTCAGCCCATAACAGGTTGTAACCAGTAGCATAGATGTTGTTCAGAGGTTCTTTTTACTGAGACCGGTAGGTGTATTTCATAAAAGTCCTTCCTGAAAGGTGGATTCCAGCCAAAAACTGGGTAATAATTTGCTCTTCGTCACGTGGAGCCGGGAGAGCACAAAGCAAAAACCCATAGTAGACGTACGGAAGATAAAGAGAAGGGTCTGAGCGTAGCGCTTGGCAGTCCTCACCTCCCAAAGGACAGGAGCACGAGGAGGAGAAGGGGACCAAGGCGCACACGACAGCGCGGGCCCGACTCGTTCTCCAGGAGCCCTTGCACAGCCAACGACCGGAAACCACAGCTCCACAATCGAGGGAACGAGGATCCACAACCTCAAACCCAAGACTTTTGTTATCACAGAGTATAATTCTGTATTTTTTCTCAATTTCTGAATCTCTTTTAAGGTAATTTAGTACCAAAGGAGGCTGCTACCCTCCTCGCATGGCGGGAGCTGCTTGTGGGAAAGGTCATTACAGGGAAACTTCATTCAGACCCCAGTAATTGGTCATCGGACTAGTTACGTAAACTTTTAAGCTTCTCAGAATTTTTTAAAAGTCTTGTGAACATAAAGAATTGAATGTCATTTACGTTTCTGTATTTTAGTAAAATATAAATGTATATATGTTTAGTAAAATTATGAGGCTATCTAAACCCTTGCTAGACCATGTTTTTCAGTTCAGTTCAATGTCAATAGAAGTGTGTTGACTTAAAAAGATTCCGCGTTTCAGAATGAAATTAGCAAGTTCTTACTGTTTTAAGCATTATGTACAGGGGAACGGTTGTGAACTATTCCTGAATCGTATCTCCTGTTACTCTTCCAACCAGGCGACCACTTTGCTCACCATGGATAAATACGCTCCTGAGGACACCCCAAATATCAACAGCACCTGCTTTAAGTTAAATTCACTGCAGCTGCAGGCCTTGCTACAGAATTACCACTGTGCGCCCGATGAGCCCTTTATCCCCACGGTGAGTGAGGCGCCATGTTAGCCACACGGCACGACACACGTTCGCGTAGGGAAATTCCAGTTAGGGGGCTTTTAATAGTTATCTTTTTTCTGTAACAAATAAGCTAATATGCTTAATCATCTCATAAGATCATTTCTGTTGGTGTAGCTGTTAGGGTTTAGTACAAGAAGTAGAAACTAGGGGCGCCTGGCTGGCTCAGCCGGTTAAGTGTTCCTCTGGATTTCGGCTCAGGTCATGATCTCGTGGTTGGTGGGTTCGAGCCCTGTGTTGGGCTCTGCACTGACAGTGTGGAGCCTGCTGGGATTCTCTCTCTCCCTCTCCCTCTCCCCCCCTCCCTCTCTGCAACTGCCCCACTCGCTCTTGCTTTCAAAATAAATAAAATAAATGTTAAAAAAACAAAATAGAAACTCCACGAGCATTTAAAATAGGGAGGGATTTAATTCAGGGAATTAGGTTCTTGGAAAGACGTTGAGAGGACAGAGGAGAGGGAGGTGAGATGTCACCCTGGCTCACGGGCTCACCACTGTGACCTCTGAGGCTCAGAGGCCCCCAGGCCTCTGCCACGGGCGCGAAGCCCCACGTCACATCCCCCCACGGGCTGCCGACGGCAAGCGGCCCAGGGGCCTCCCCGACCTGTGTGGAGGTCGGCTGGTAAGAACCCCGTTTTGGCATCTGTGCCTCTTGGTAGAAGCCCGGCCCCTGGTGTGCGCCACGGCCCTGTTTATAGAGAGAGGAAGACGGCAGGTGCCGTGGTCACAGCCGAACCCCGTCTGCTCGCCGCAGGTCTCCTGAGAGGGGCAGTTCTTGGGGGGGGGGACGTGTCCACCTGTGGGACTGGGTTGATGCCAAGGAAGGACTCGAACAGAGTAGCCCAGGGTGGGAAACCCACAGGTGCCGGCCAACACACGGCACGTGGGAGCGCGGTGCAGCCACCCCGTTCACAGGGGACAAGTGGCTGCGGATACGGTGCGCCACCACCTGTCCGGGTTCCAGAGAAGACAGGTGCGTCCGTGGCGGCGCGGGCCCGGGAGGCTGATCCTGGGCGCGGGGGCGGGTTCTACGGGGAGGCCTCCGCTCCGTGAGCTGGTGCACTTGTCCACGGAGCTGCCTAGTGAGGGGCTGGGACCTTCCCTCTGTTGGCTGCGAGTGCGTGGTTTTATCCTGTTCACACTCACCCTTGGGTGAGCCTTTCCTGTCATTAAACGTTCTGAAAAAATCGGACTATTAGCAAGTGGGTATGAAAAAATTGCAGGGAGAAAACGGTTACCCTTGACAAGGGGAAGAGCCGCTTTCTGTTCACGCGTTAAAAGTGCGTGCCCCGTCCACGTTGCGTCGCTCTGCGAACTGGTGGTGTGCAAATCGACACGTTCACCCTCCCCCCGCAGCCCTGCCAGAGTGTGTCACCGCGCGAACGACAGAACTTCTTTGGATGGTTAGCCCGCTGCACCCGTGGCGCGTCTTCCTAATCCGTGCCTTCCTTTCCCCCCCAGGACCTGATAGAGAATGTCGTGGCCGTGGCCGAAAACACGGCCGACGAGCTGGCGCGCAGTGACGGGCGGGAGGTGCAGCTGGAAGAGGACCCTGATCTGCAGCTGCCTTTTCTTTTGCCGGAAGACGGCTATTCTTGTGACGTCGTCAGGAACGTTCCAAACGGTTTACAAGAATTTCTGGACCCTCTGTGCCAGAGAGGTGAGTCGCCTTTGCTGCGCCTGCGGTCTGCACCGCGGCCCGGGTCCAAGTGAGAACTGGCCGTGCCGCGTCCTCACGTGCAGTCCCCCGCATCGTGCACCCACCCTGTGCTTTCCGAGAAGGCTGTGTTCTGGGGCTCGGGAGTGAGCGCTCCACGGCGACAAGGGGACAGAAACGTGCAGCCACCAAGGGCACTTGCTGTGCACACTCGGTGTCACGGCCACACGTCTGCTGGGCTGGTAGGAAGGGCCTTTGGTTGCTCCTCCCTTGGTTTCTTGTGGGCCTGGAACGGAATCGTCCCCGGGGGGTGACGCGGCAGACGTGTCGGGGTGGCACCGGGTCTGGAATCGGACGGTCTGAGGCGTGACCTCAACCTCGTCACCTGTGACTTCCCCTCTGTGAAACGGCCACATGGATGGCGTGCCCCTCGTGGGATTGTCGTGAGGACTGAGCAGGCGCTCAGTGGCAGAGTGAGCCTCCGGCGTGGCCTCTGCCGTCACCGTGCCCAGTGCCCGCGGGGACCTGCCACGTGCTTGTTGGCCAGGCTCCAGCCTGTCTCGTCTCCGGGCAGCGTGCGCCCCTGGTTTGATCCTGTGCCTTTTTACGTATTGTTGGTGCATGTGGATAAAAATGCCACACTTAGACCTGAAGCATGAACTTTAAATTAGGCCAAGTTGCAGTCCCAGTCTGCTGCCTTATTTTGTACCGCAGAGCTCAGATGAGTAGAAAGATAGATTCAAAATTCAGAGTTTGTTTAAACAGAAACACTAATAGCAAAGTTAAGGTTTTATGTCCATCAGTATATAAATGTAGCGTGATTTGTAATCTCACTGAATATTCCACTTGCTACAATACATAGATTCTCATGTTTTTAAAGATCTTGACGGTTTAAAATTTTTTCACTTCACAAAGGCTGCTGCTTGTAAAGGGAGGGTTATGCGCTTCTACATCCCCCAGCAAATGTGGCTGGAGCCCCCCCTCCCCCCCTCCCCCCCAGGGATGGTGACCGCGGGCTCGGGGAGGTGGAGGCCAGGCGGCCTGTGCCGCTTGAAGGAACCTCGTGGGAAGGATAAAGGGACAGGCACGGAGCCTGTGTGAGCAGGGAAGAAGGGGGTCCGGGCCGCAGCATGCGTCTAAGAAAGCTGCGGTCGAGGTTGGGACTCTTGGGGCCACGGCTCCTGTCGGGGGACCCCACGTCCCGGCAGACTGGGGCTGAGCTGGTCTCTGGCACCACACCCATCAGCCGCGTTTCCTCAGCACCTCACACACCCGGGGAGGTGATGACGGGTGCCTTCCCAGACCTCCTCCTCCCTGTGGCCCTCCGCGGCCGGCCGGCCCGTCAGCGCTGGGCTTGCTGGCTCTCCTGCCCCCAGCTCGGCCCCGCCACCTCCAGGATCAAGCACACCAGTGGCCAAGCACGCTAAGCCACCTCCACGTGGTCTTAGTTCTCGACCTCGTTGTCAGCGTTGAACCGCGCGTTGTACGGCCCCGGACGCCCCTGTGCCTTGCTCCCTGCTGCCGCTGCTCGTTACTTTAAATCCGCATCAGGCAACCCTTTGTCAAGAAAACTCAGCCTCCTCCTTGCACTGAAGCCACTTTTCCACAAGGCCTTCTGTGTTCTCTTGGTTAGGGTTCTTGTGAGAGCACTTGAAGCACGTGAATACGTCCGTCCAGGGTCAGGCTCCGCGTACCCCTCAGCACCTAGCGGCGGGCTGCTGGGCGCCCAGGGCTCAACAAGCCCCGCTTCTCATTAATTCCTTGAGAACGAGCACGAGGGAAGACTAATTTACTGGCATTCTTCGGATGCGTACGTGTAATTTGTGGTGTGTGCACAGCTGTCAGTGTTGGGGTACGTGCCCTAGAGAGGTTTGCCAAGCTGGGAAGACTCCGGTCTTGCCTTGATGGTGAAGTGCACCTCGTGCCTTCCCCTGAGGCTCCCTTGCATGATTGATTTCAGGACATAGGTGATATTTCATCATGGTCTTGGCATCCCCACATCATTTCGTATGTGTTAGATGGTAACACAGCCTATTACACAGATGCCTTTAAAAGACTTACAAAGAACTGGGTGTTTTCTTTTATGACATCAGTGTTTTTGATTCTTCAAGCTTAATTCTTTGTAAGCCAAATAAAGAACTACTGTGCCCTCTCAGTGTATATTCCTTTTGTTTTCTCAAATCCTGCAGTTCTGTGAGAGAAGGCTGTAAAACCAGCTCGGACTCACACCTGACCTGAGATGTGTTCCTTAAGCTGAGGCAGCAGAGACTGTCTGCTTGACGTATGACCCAGCCTTGTTGTGGAACCCTGGTGTTTGAAAAAATAAGAAAATGATGAAAACTGTTAATTTCAAAAGTGTGCTAATCGATTACATGAGTATTACAATTCCCTAAAGCAGGAGAGAGAGAAGTTGCAGGTTTTATTTGAATGAAACTGGATTGAAACAGTGATTTAACAACAAAAAAAGACTATACGTTTATATCTTTATCTTAACCAAGTAATTGTGACGTGTCCTTTTCCCTTTACCGCAAAAAAAATGTCCTAAGTGCCCCCAGATAGCCATACTTTTCCTTACTGGTGGAATCCTAGTGTGGGAGAGGGCCCGCCAGCACCTACTGGGACTCTGCCCAGTCCTGGGTCCTCAGGGCACCCTGGGGCCGGGAGGGCCGCTGAAGAGCACACGTTTTGGGGGGGGGTGCTCTTCAGAGCTGCTAACTGCTAATAATAATGAGACCGCCGTGGAGAGAATTTAAGAACTGTGCAAGGCCTGTGTGATACGACTTTATCAAGAAATTTCTGGGAAACACAGAATAAGATCTCAATGAAGAATGACATAAATTGAAAGGCTTACTTTTGTAAAGATACCGTTTGTTCATGATGGGAATACCAAAGATTTTCCTTAAAACGTTACAAAATGATTCTAAGATTTATTTATAAGAGCTTTAGGTAACTAGTAAGGAAATTGGGACAAAGGGTAATGAATGAGTAGGGGCCCATCTTCCTGCAGAACCACCACACAGGTCACGTGACACCCTGGCCATCACCATACCGCCTGACTACGGGCAAACACCTGCATTAGCATTGTCCCTGGTCCCGCTGTGCAGGGCATCGCCCACACACAGGTCAGCAAGGAAGGAGGGGCAGCATAATTCAGTCATTTCTCCAACCAGTAACGACAACACTCCCCCCCCCACCCCCGGGGGGGGGGGCCCGGAGGGGAGACGAGTTTCACTTTTCGTCTTGATGTCGATCCGTTAGACCAAAAAATAATGATTTTAACTATCTGATAAGACCATTTTGAGAGGGAATAAAGGTGTAGAGTAAGAAAAGTAAATGCTGTTACTAGATACTAAGTATTTGATGCTTATTAATGTTGCTTCCCTTCTTGAAGATTGTTTTTGTTTTTTCTTTAATTTTTTTTTAATGTTTATTTTTGAGAGCGAGCAGGGGAGGGGCAGAGAGAGAGGGTGAGACACAGAATCTGAAGCAGGTTCCAGACTCTGAGCTGTGAGCACAGAGCCCAACACGGGGCTCGAACTTACAGATCGCGAGATCGTGACCTGAGCTGAAGTCGGACTTAACCAACTGAGCCACCCAGGTGCCCCTCGAAGATTGTTTTCACATGCTTTACTTTTCAGTTTTATAATTTGCTTGTTTTCTCCTTAGGGTTTTGCAGGTTAATTCCTCATGCACGTTCACCAGGTACTTGGACGATATATTTTGAAGGTGCAGATTATGAGAGCCATCTTCTGCGTGAGAACACAGAGCTGGCAAGTATTGTGAAGGGTGATGCGCGGGATAGAGACCGACCTGTATTCCTTATGATTCGAAAATGGAATGCAAACCCGTTCCTTGATTGTAGAGAGTGTTGTTGTGATAAAAAAAAAAAAAAATTTTTTTTTAATCATTTTTTTTTTTAAGATTTTATTTTTAAGTACTCTCTACACCCAATGTGGAGCTTGAACTCACAACCCCAAGATCAAGAGTCACAGGTTCCACCGACTGAGCCAGTCAGGGGGCCCTAAAAAACACCTTTAAGTACCAATTTTATTTAAAAATCTGAAACTGTGATTTATGTATATTTTTCCCATGCCATGTTTATACACTTTTTTCCATAAACAAATGATACTTTTAAAATTAAAAAATATTTCTGCTCACAGCTATACCAGTCTTACTGTTAATACGTGTTTTTTTGTTTGTTTGTTTTTAAATTTTTTTTTTCAACGTTTTTATTTTTATTTTTGGGACAGAGAGAGACAGAGCATGAACGGGGGAGGGGCAGAGAGGGAGGGAGACACAGAATCGGAAACAGGCTCCAGGCTCCGAGCCATCAGCCCAGAGCCCGACGCGGGGCTCGAACCCACGGGCCGCGAGATCGTGACCTGGCTGAAGTCGGACGCTTAACCGACTGCGCCACCCAGGCGCCCCTAATACGTGTTTTTAAACACATATTAATACAATAGCCTTAATGAATTTTATTAGGGAATATTTTTCTTTGGTAAAAATATTTTCTCCTTACAGTTGGTTCTACCCTGTATTAAGTTTGTATCACATCACTTAACATTTTGTATCTTTTGAAAGAGTAGTCAATCCCCATATTTGTTAGCTTCATACATTTTATGGAAGATTCTCCTTTGCTCCCTACAAGGAGTTTTAGACAACAAAGAATGTTTTTCCATGCCTGAGAACGTGACATGTACTGACATGTCTTTCATTAACATACGAGTGCAGAAAAAATAGAAACAAATGAAATCTTTCCTCCTTGAACTTTTGTTGAGTTGCTCAGTTTAAATATTTTGCTCTAATTGCCATTTTCATCTTTTAAACCACTTCAGGGTTCAGAGGAACAACAAACGTAACCATACTTTGTCAAGATTCCTGTGGCTAGGGCACGAGTGCATTACCTGTGATGAGATGTGGCCATTTATTCACTGCCCGCCTGTCCCCAGAAGGCATGGGGTAGGCCCCGTGTGCCCGAGCCAAGATTTAGAGATTCTGCCGGGTGAAAACAGCCACGGGACTTCATTATACTATCCCAGTTATGAATCAGTAGTCAGTCCAAACGTTTTGCCCATTTTATATATAACTTCTAAGAAAACGTAGATTTCCGTAAGGTGGTAATACTTAACGTAAGATAGTGTTTTGTGTATTTTGTGTATTGAATTCAAAGGGACTTTTTATCATGGCATAGTAGTCTACTTCAGATTTGAGTGCGTATCTCCAGCACCTGACTTAGTTGATAGTCGCCCGGTTAGGCCAGATAGCTGGGCGCTAACTGCTGGCACCACGCACGTGCTTCTCATACTCGCGTCCACCCTGCTAGCTGGTGGCCGAGTCCCATGCAACAGCAGTTACAGTTCCCAGATTTTACAGGAAAGAAGTACCTTGGTAGATGAGATCAGGGATTCCTCATCTTTCTAGTTTGTTCCAAGACCCCTCGGGAGATTCCAGGTCTTAATCTAAAAAAAAAAATTGTAACGTCACCCATTGTTTATTTTCCTTAAACTATTCTCTCGCTGACCTTGGTCCTAAATTAGAAGCCATATGTAATTACCACTCGTTGGCAGTGTGCCTTTGTACTTAGTGTACTTAATTGATTAAATTCTCCCTTAGTGTGTATGCGCTGGTGATTTTCTTCTTCAGCTCTGTTTATCCTCCGTGTGAGGTGCGACTTGTGTGTGACGTAACTGCAGCGGGTAATTCCCCGTTCTCCTTCGGTTACGGATCTTGAAATGATCGAGCCGCGACTTAGCTCCTTTCGGGTCTGTCACCCAACGTAGTGACCCAGCACTGTGGGCACTGCCGCGGCATTGTGTGGTTGTTGTGTGTTTGCTAAGATAAAATGACAGCCGTATCTTCCCGAGAGACGGGGATGCTTGGTGGCAGTGGTTGTTTGCTGACCTCCCCATAGATGGTGTAAAAGGAGTCTAAATTGCTTCTTTAAAAAACACCTAGTAGTTTACTTTGCCAGGTAATAAAGTGAAAACTTGGTATTGTCTCTATGGTTGGGTTTTTCTAATCTGGTAGTGATGGAAGTTTAGTTTTGTTGGAGAAATTAGGCTCTCGAAACACGTTTAAGTAGCATGTGTGACTAGATTCATCTTCAAGGTATTGACACGAATATGGACACTTACTGTACTGGCTTCACGCACGAAGAGTATCTGTACTCCTTGACTGGTCTTCTTCCCGCTCCCTGCCCCCTGCCTCTGTCCTGTGCACCCTGGTGCGTAGGATCACTGCGTAGGTCAGGAGGTGGTGAGTCGAGAAACGCTTTGTTTCAGCCGTAAGACACACCTTTGTTTTTATTCTTCAGGCTCAGCCTCTGCGGAAAGAACCTGAAATAATCACCGTGACTCTCAAAAAGCAAAACGGAATGGGCCTCAGCATTGTCGCGGCAAAGGTAGGATGGAGTTGGCACCGCGCAAGTTGGCACACCACATTCCTGAGACCTTGAATCAGCTGTTGGCCATGGCGGGACGCGGGGGCGTCGTTCCCCGCCCGTGGGCCGGGTGCGTGTGCGGTCCTGTTTCTGGGCTGTTTCTGCGGCCGGGACCGCCGTGCTCAGGCTCCTTTAACCGAGGGCTGGCCTGCTCTCAGTTTAAGCCGGGGCTGGAGGGCGTGCGACCTCGACGTGGGGCGGCCGGCGCTCCCGAGGAGCAGACTGAGTCAAAACGTGACGCGCCGCGACAGGCAAGAGAGCCCCGGTGTAGGAGGAGGGGGATTCCTGGGTTTGAAATAGGAGACGGGTCTCGCACATGGTCAGAGCGGGGCGAGAGGCACATGAGAGACTTCTGGTTCCCGTGTCCAGGTGCCCTCTTACGGGGCGGGTGGGAAGGGGTGAGGGGGGGGGGGGCGTCCTCAGCCCGGGCTGCGCGTCGGTCCAGCAGGTGCAGCTGCCCGCGTGGGGCATCAGGAGGGAAGCCTTCCCGCCGCATAGCGAGTACCAGGAAGGGAGGAGTAGGGGACGCACTGGGAACAGGCAGGGATGGAGCAAACCGGGCCTGGGGGCTGGGGACCTGCCCCCACACTGCCAGGGAGAGCCCCGCGCTTTGGGAGTCGGGGAGTCAAGATTCTTGGTTGACGAGCGAGGTGTCCGCACCGTGTCTTGTGCCCAAAGAGAGATGAAAGGGACGTGACGGAGCTGGCGTCTCAGGATGCCGTGTCGCGCAGGGCTGTGGTGTAAGGACCGATGGGGGAACGGGGGGGGGGGGGGCCCCGGGGGGGATTCCAGCTGGCAGTCAGCCGGCCGAGGCGCGCGCCCGCCTGCTGGGCGTGCATGGAAGGTGCTGTGTGGGGCACAGTGGTCTGGTTCCGAAGCACCGGCTTACATGGGGTCACCCTTAGATGTGGCCTGTTTTGTCTTTGCTGCCCAACTGAATCAGATGCCCATTTTGAGGGAAAAAAGTGTTAGGATAAAAAATTACCTTGCAGCAATCAGATACACCGGAAACCTTTAACCTTTATATTTTCTGGGGTGTGTATAAATCCTCTTTCAAATATTCCTCTTGGGATTTGAAACACTCATCTGTGGGGTGACAGGAGCTACCATTTATCAGCGACTCCATCTTTTCCAGCTTAAAAAATTATCTTCCAGCACAGAGCTACCTGTTTGCTGAAGATTTAAGTCTGTCTTACATGTAAGTGGCTTTGATCCTCTCTCTGGCACCCTGCCATGTGGACAGGACGGGCATCATCTACACAGGGAGGCCGCCTCGGGCACCCCCAGCCCTCTCCCTGGCTGGCCCCCAGCCCCCGTTCTTGCGTGGTTAGGACAGGGAGACACCTCGAACCCCCGGTCGCGCCTCTCGTCGCTTACCTGCACCTGCGGGTGAGGGGACGGGGAGAGGGTGCCGGCGCCCTGGTTCTCCCCCAAGGAGTGGTTCCTGCTCAGGGTCAGACGGCAGGCAGTGAGGACGGTCTTCTCAATGTCAGGAGGAGCCCTTTAATAGACCGGGGCGGCGAAAGGACTGAACCACAGTGAGGCAGTGGGGGCACGGGTGAGGCCCCGTGAGGAGGTCTGTGCGCGGAGCTGCCAAGCCGGGACCAGTGCCGACGGCTGCTTGCACCCGGCCCGCGCCCACCGTCGTGGCTGCTGGCCACACAGCTGCACTCGTGTCTTCTTGGTGGCCCCCTGCACTTGGCCGCCTCTGCTGAGCGCCTGTGCGTTCTGTGTGTGTTCACATTCATGCGAGGAAGCACGGCAAAACGCTGTTCTCTCCGCGTAGTCAGTACAAAGTGCTTTTGCCGTAAAAATAGAAACGATTCTGGAATCCTTGATGTTACAAAAGCATTTGTGGTAAGAAACCAGCGTAGCACAGTGACTGAGTCCCATTAGCCTCGCGTAGTTTGGAATATGCAGGGCTTAGCTTTGGGGTAGGTAAGTAGTAATCTTAAGATGAGGTCTTTTGGTATTTTCGCCAATATTGGAAGAAGCTTCGTAGGAAAGCGGTAGTTAGTTGTTAGGGTAACATTTATTCCAAGAGAGAATGTCGAGTGCCTCTTGTGTGAAAACAGAGTGTAATTTTCACGTTTTCATCTTTAGAACTCTAGGTTTTTGTTGTTGGTGTTTTCTGTACGAAGACGTTTTAAAAAGAGAGATTTGTAGCTGGAAAATACCAGTGTTAGTATTTCTAATTGGGACATAGGATTCTAGAATTGGGGCTTCTTGGGGAATAGGAAGAACACAGACGCTAGGTAGAAATCAAAGATCAACCTTTTTACCACCCACAGCCAGCAAGGAGAGCGTGGCCGGGGCCGCATCGGTAGCAGACCGGCTGATACCCGGTTTCTGAAATAAACCTACTCTCTTCCCCTTCCTCTCCCCCTGCCGCAGCCACAGGCGTCCCCTCCTCTGGGAGCAGGGCCAGAAAGCAGAGCGCCTCACTCAGCAGGCGGTGGGGGTGGGGGGGTCCTTTCCAAAACTGGGAAGGTGGCATTCTCTCCAGCATTCCTAGCATTTCGACACTCTTCTTGTTTCTGGTCTTTTTAAATACTTTTCACAGTGAAAGTATAAATTTAGAACTAGAAGAAAAGTAATAGTTTCTCGAAAGGATTCCAGATTTAACGCTAAGGTGGTTTATCCATCAGATTATAAAATAGATTTAATAAAGGGCAGCGTGCTCCTGGCTCTGTTTTCTTCTCCCACCGAGCCTGTATCAGTGATCCCTCGATCACTTGGGGGATGAGGCGAAACAATACAAATGAGCGCATGGCATCAGAGGTCGGTATTGATCCAAGGGTGCTTACGGACTGTCTGAACACCAGTGCAGAGGAGAGGTCGAGGACGGCCTCCCTGAGGAAGCACCTACTGAGCTGCAGCCTCCAGGGTGAGCAGGTGCTGGTCAGGTGGGAGGCGGCGAGCGGAGGCGCGGCCGTGTGGCCGGGGCACAGTGAGGGGGGCACGCCTTCCGAGGTGGACCCGGGGCAGGGGAGGTGAGGCCGCTTCTTGCAGAGCAGAGTCGTCCCCCCGCGGGTGCTACGGCGTGTGGGCCGCGTGGCCTGTGCCGCAGCTGTGGAGGTCCCGTCAGGGCGGGAGAGCTGGCGTGGGGTGGTGGTCGGTGGGGGAGTGGGGCTGTGTCCCACTGACACTTACAAAGCCCCCGAGGTCTTGATGGAGTTGTGTGTCTTGTCACAGGGAAAAGAAGTCGCCATCGAAGGGGTTCGGAGAAAGGTGGAACGTGAACAGGGTATGGCTCTCTACGGAGCGCGGGTTCCAGGGGCCCAGAGGTGCAGCCGAAACAGCTAGGAGTAAGGAGTCTGTTACTGGTTTTCCAGAGGGGAGGTGGCAGCGGGGACGGCGGCCGGCCAGCCCGGGGCACGTGTTGGTGGGGAGCAGTGGGACGTTCACTAGACGGGGTCAGGCACTTGGTCTCGGTCAGTGCTAAAGGGATGGTGTCTCTAGTGCGTCACAGGTGCTAGGACTTGTTAAATGACAGCTGTCCCTGCGATTGATGCATCGGCTCTCGCGGGTGAAAGGGAGACGCCCTGGCCGCCCCGTGGCTCGCCCTCAGCCATTGAGCTGGGGGTGGGGGTGTGGGGAGAGAGCCAGGTGTTCGGCCCCGAAGGTGGTAGGTTAGAGGTCGGGGGTGCCTGTGAGGCTGGGCGAGTGAGCATACCGTGTAGCAGCTGGTCGCATGTGGGCGTAGGGGACGCACCCGGAGCCAGAGAGCGATGTGGACGTCGGCTCGCAGATGCTCTAGAGGACGGAGCTCTGGGAGCCTGGTCAGCTGACTGGCCAGCGTGCCGCCATAGGAGGCGGGCACGTGGCCTTGACGCCTGTTTGTCCCAGGAGACGGCAGCCTCGAGGATCCCAGGCGCGCCCGATTGCCTGCTCCAGCTTCTTTGTGATGCCTTCACTTGGAAAGGAAGGCTCGGCAACAGAAATCACGAGTCATTGAGTTGACAGGCTTTGCTGAAGTGCCACGGTGCCACTGACACATGGCACAGGTCTGCGTAAATTACAGCGGTCCAGCGGATTTGTTGTCGAGATTTCAGGAATGTATCTTAAGTGCAAGGCCGGCCAGCACCGAGCGAGAGGAGCCACGGGAGAGATCGGACCCAGTGCTGTCGTCTGTCATTTTGTTCTCTCGTTGTGGCTCTGCGTTCTGCACTCGAGGGCCTGTGGGCCCCCCTGGTTAGCTTTACCCCAGTAATTCTTACTTGTGTCTGTGTATTTTGTTTTCTCTGTAAGCTGTTGTGGTCTTTGTATCTGGCCCAGTCTTTTTTTGATTTTTTCCCTAATTAGCGTGTGGCTAGCTGCTGTGAGCCTGGACGATGTTTTGATGTTCAGCTCCCTGACGCCCCTTCCACATTGTGGTTCAGTTTTATGAAATCCAGATGATTGGGACAGTATGTGTGTGCAGTTTACTTTTTTCAAACGTTGCTTTTGGGGAAGTTTAGTGTGCTCCTTCTTACTCATCTGGGGGACAGCACGATGCTTCCTGTTTAATTTGGATTTTGTAAAATGCAAACAATCCCCTCTTTATTTTTCTAGCTCTTTTTAAAGTTTAATAAAGTACAAAGTGAACGAAAATCAGAGCTGACTGGTTACGTAAGAGTCTGAATGTGGCATTGGCTCCAGTCCGTGTTGATAAATGCCATACGGTGTCCTAACGTCCAGCTCAGAACTGTGCTGATCCGGGTCTCGAAAGACCAGCTGGGTTGGTTGCTGTTGAAAGCGGAGTGGAGCAGACGGTTGTGTCTTTCTTCTGTTGGAGAAGTTGCTGTAGTCCTGAGATCAGAATGTGGTTCTCTGTTGTCGGAAGAACAGGATCGGTGGTGAGTTTCTCCAGGGTGCAGTTGTGGAATTGGATGTTCTTGTGCAAGGTCTTACCTGTGATGCTTCCAAGAATGCGTTTTCTTCCATTGTAACGTGTTTAAACCTGCCAATAATTAACTTGC